TAGACATCAGCTGATGTGCTTGTACATTATGATCCACGAAAGCTGACTGTTCTCTCCTGTGAAGTCTCTCCTTACGTCCATGAAGCTGTTTTGCTAAACAAATTATCTGATGGTTCACAGAGACTTATCGCTTACGTTTCACGAACCTTACCTTAACTGCAGCCGAATGGAACTACTGTTAGCTCGCTCGCGAGGCAGCTGCTGTTATTTTCGGTACCAACCGATTCCACCAGTTCTTGGTCGGCCAGAATTTCATGATTCACACAGACCACAAGCCCCTTATCTCGTTCCTGGGTCACGAAAACGGAATTCAACAAATGGGTCACCCAAAATGATTCGCTGGTCCTTCATGATATCCGCTTACGCATACCAACATCAGTATATCCCTGACCGACTGCTGCCGATGTTCTTAGTCGACTTCCCCTACCGGATGTGTCTTGGGTGGAATTTACTTTACAAGAGGTTGTCAAACTAATTCAGTTGTTCAACAAGACCCCCGTCACATACAGATATGCGTTGGGAGATCAATAGAGATTCGTTAGTAGCGCATGTGAAGCGGTAGGTTCAGGTTGGATGGTAAGAAAACACACCTGCAGATCTTATGCCTCTTCACAAGAGGAAGGCTGAACTCAAGCCCCACAACGGATGTTTGCTGTAGGGTGCGTGCGTCGTGGTCCTTAACAAATTGTGATCACCCATCTTGGAAGAATTTTACGATTGGCAACTCAATGCTGCTAAAATGAAAGCACTTTACTGTTTCTATGTATGGTGGCCCGAATTGAATGGTGGTATTGCGGCAAAAGTTGAACGGTGCATACTGTCAGGAATCTCGAAACGCTGCCCCTCGGGTACCGGTGAAGCATTGGAAATGGCCAGATACGCATCGGAAACGTGTCCACATAGACGTTCGGTCCATCTGAAAGACAGATGATACTGTTATTACTGACCCTCTTGTTAAGTGGATTGAAACCCATACTCTGGCCACAGCGACATCAGCCAGCGCAATAATCAAAGTACGCACTGCATTCGCTACCTTTGGACTCCCAGTAACACTAGTGTGGGACAAACGATCTGCGTCTGCCAGCGCAGAATTGTTCACATTTCTTGCTTTAAATGAAATTAGGCACTTAACAATCGATTCTTATAAGCTCTCTTCTAATGGTTTGGCTAAAATATCCATGCAAACTGCAAATTATGCTGCTGAGACAAACGAGTGCGCTACTGCATGTGCGCCTGGATCATGCTCTTATCGATTACTGAAATATGGTAAACGATGCCACCGGAAGAAATCCTGCGGAGCTAATGTTCGGCAGTCGTTAGCGTACGCGACTAGACTTATCGCACGGTACTCTAGGATCTGAAGTCCTCGATCAACAAGAACGAGTGAAAGAAGATTTTGATCTTCGCAGTAAAGACATGCTCGTAACAGACTCAGACCCAGTCTACGTACGTTTGCCTACAGAGTCCGGATTGTAGCCAGTTGCTTTGAAGACAGCTAATAGACTGATGATAGAAATGATGATTGAGGGCGGCAAATTAGTGAGACGTTACCTAGATCACTTACGTCCAATTCCGAGTCAGAAAGTGAACTAGACACCCCACCTTCAGAGCCCTATGACACACGTGCCAATGACTCCATGACGGTGAAGCAACGCTGCGTAGCTCAATCTGTGACCGTCGACCGCTTGCAGTCTGGATTGTTGGAACCATGGGGGAAAGAGTGATGCGTCAATTGTTACCTCGGCCGAACACGCAGCATCTGCGGTCTGGGTGTGTTTGTACGTGCATCGATACGTGTGTGTGTATGCTTCGTCCCTCATTAGCCCATGCTACCTAGTCGAGACACGGACTTGAAACTCGGTGCATAATGGTGCATGCTTACCCACCAAACGATTGTACACATGCATGGCTAGTTGACCTTACGAGATACTTCCGTTGTACCGTACTTGTTTCTGATATCACTCAGGTGTACTATGGAACATGACTCCAACCAAGGTGGATGCTTACAAACCTAGTAGATAAATCCCTTATCCATAACAAATAATAACAGTCAGAAAGTCAACAATGGTTTACGCAAATACTTTCACAACCATCACACTTTGTGAGGTAAAATATTTTTCCTCAATATTCACTTTATTCAAGTAGCACAACCGTCCATATTTTTTTTGACCGCTCAGTTGACAATGGGCCTTTGCTATCAAGAATTCTGCGGTGCGTGTCGCAAAATTTCGAGTCCAAATTCCGGATTTTAATTATACTCCGACTCGGTTTCCAGTCAGTTCCCTAGGTATCTTTAACGAAACGTGGAGATTAGGGTTAGCACAACATCCAGCATCAACCCCTTGAACACAAAGCTGTAGCACTGCTGCTCGGTCAAGCTTGAGTGTGTTTGGACAGCAATTTATCTCAACAAATTCCAATACCAACAGTTTTTTCCATAAAAATGAACGGGACGTTCCCATGGTAATTGTACCGTTTATCTAATGTCATTCGTTTCATTGCTTTAATTCTCGAAAATTTGACCTCCTTCAAGTAAGTAATTCGCCTACATTTTCTGCAACTTTAATATTATTCCGGTTGTTTCGGGGTACTGCGACAGGATTTGTCCGATGGGAATCAATAACAGCGAATTTGATGAAGGCAACAGAATCGCACTCAGTTTCGGGGCCGAATATGAGTGGTCGGAGCATGCTTAATTGTTTGAGGATACGGGACGATGAGTGCTGATGTCACTTCAATTTCTGTACTGTAATAAATCTGTGCTGTTAAATAATGGCACCTAACTCCTCATTAATGACCCACACCAAACTATTTTCGGTCATTCTTTGTGAGACTTGTGCATATTTGTTACCTATGTAGTAGAGCGTAAAGTTTGATGTTCTAATTTATCAAAACGACTATACCACTACTATTTAGTGCACCATAATCACTAGACTCCACTTGTACGTAAGGACCAAACAGTACACCAACAGAGCTTAGCAGAAAGGTTTTGTGCTAACAGACATGTGATCAGCCTCCGGGATGTGAAGCGTGGTGCTCTCCCACTTACCTCAGCAAATAGATGTGCCCAAACAGCAGAGAATGCAGCCAACGTTCTATAGTTGCAATGTGCTTCACTACTTCGACGCGCCACCAGCACTCGTCAAACACCTGTGGCATTCCCCGACGCCAACATTTACACGCATCACTTGTAGTTCAGCGGCCGTATTGAGGAAGCTGTTATCCTTGCGCACCCATAGTTCTCCTGCTGTTGACAACATTACCCCGAAAACACTGCAGGTGGCAGTGCTTAAAATAGCTGAGCTATTAGCTCGATTTTTCCAAAGATGCCTGGATAAACAGCAGGTCCCCAACAAGTGGAAGCACGGTATCCTCCACAAAATTTCCAAGGGTGGTAGCCGTTCGGAGCCCGTCAACAATCGCAAAGTAATTCTCCTCCCAGTGCTCTCAAAGGCGATGGATTCGATTATAGATGCGGCTGTAATGGGCTACTTTGAAAAGCCTAACACCATAGCACAAGAACAACACGGATTCCATCAGCACCGGTCATGTACTGTCAACCTTCTGATTGCGCGTGGCAGTTGGACCGAAAGAGCCGACAGTGGGACCTTCGCGGATGTCATCTTCCTCGACTTTTCTGAAGTCTTCGACCGCTTAAATAACCGAATCCTTCGTCAAAAGCTGCATAAGTAAAGAAAGGCATCAGCAATACGCCGGTACGCAATATCGACGCTTTGTTGCTGCGCAATCACCACCGGTCGCACTTAGGCTAATATACTGCGAGGGTTGCCCTGCCGCTAGGCCGGCTCGAACCCGCGTCGCGGAATTACAAAACAAGTTTGTAAGCTTTATGCTACGGGCGGGAATTTAGTACCCGGTACTGGGAGAGGTCGGTAATTTCCTCCGTTAACGGTGGCTTCAGGTTCGGGGTATATTTTCTGATCCTATTGATGTGGACTGCGGTGTCCTACAGCGATCGGTGTTAGGGACGCGCCTGTTCCTGGGTTTCAGCAACAACCTTGCGCGTGTCATCAAGATATGGCGGGCGATCGGTTGTCAGGAAGATCACGACGTGCTGCAAAGAGACTTAGACTGTGTCTTTGAATGGTCAAAGGCAAATCTACTTCCAGTTAACGGGAACAAGTGCAAGACTGTACATGTGCCCCGCAAGCCCAGTTACGCATACAAGCTTGGTGACCACAAGCTGAAACCTGACCCACAGGGAGCGAGACGTTGGGGTGGTGATGCAAGCCGATCTCGGCTGTTCGGCGCCGTCTGTGAAGGCGTCCAAAAACGCTAACTAACACGTCAGTCTCTTACGGAGGAGGTTCGGGTGGTTCGACCCCACCATCTTTCCAAATGCTTAATGCGTATGTGAGACCCAATGTGAAGTACGCGCTTCAAGCCTGGCAACCCTAGTTAAAACGCGACCTGATTGCACTGCATACCGCACAGCGAAGGGCAAGAAAAAATGCGAAGGGGTTGTTCCACCTGCCATACCATCCGCGACTGAAAACCTTAGGACTGTACAGCAGAAGTTATCACCGTCTACGGGGTACCACATTCTGGTGTACCAGATCTTGAAAACCCAAATCATGCTTACCACTACCTCTTAAAACAGTCGCAACACAAAACAGAGGGGTCACCAGCTGAAACTGGCTAAACGATACAGTCGGCTGGAATACAACCGCAACTAATTCTCTTCGAATCTGTCGCCTTTGGAACTCCTTTCCGACTTTTGTCATCCCAGTGCCCACGATACCCTTTAAAAGAACAACTCGACGAGGCATTACACCAACTGCATTACATGACTTTATTTCTGTTTACTTCGTGACAACAGGACGCAGAGAAACCTTGCGCCCTCCAGCCCCATGTAATCGGTGTAAACGGATACACATGTGCGTTAACGAACATAATTTGACTTACAGTGGATTGACCTCTTATATTACGAATACCACGGTGTCCACCGGTGTGCACTTGCTTTTTTGTTTAGAAATTTTGCTATAGTTTGTATGTTCATCATGCTCATCTTACTGGACATGTTAAGCTTCAGCTTTTTTAATCCTATAAAACCATCGTTCCACTGTGTATCATTGTGTTTTACCCGCCGCTTTCTGTGCCAAACTGTCTCCCCCGACGGCTCAGATGTTACTTATCTACTTCTGTCCAATGAAATTTGTTTCCTATTCTCAAGATCCGTGTTTAAAAATTTACTTTAGGGTAACCTGGAACAGGGCAATTGGATATGCTACAGTTGAGAGCAAATACCATAGTTGATGAATCGGGCTGAAGTGAAGACGATGTAAGGCGAATGCCGCATTCAGTCAGACAGCTATTCCTATCCGGACGGGCACCGGTATGCAGGTTCTCCTTTCCGGACTCGTCAGTAGTAAGGATTTCAATGGTTTATGAGGTTTTAAGCTAGGGATTTATGTTTTTAGGACATGGTGGAAGCCGACAATCATAGCCAATGTGTACTTAAGGATTATGCAGCGCAGTGCAATGTCCACAATGTTACAAGACACGGCCAAAAACAGGGTTGGTTTAACGGCTTATTTACTCAAGAGTAGGCAACCACTAAGTTGGCTGCGTTTTGAGCAGAACTCTAATGGTAATAGAATTAGCTGGTGAATTCAGCGCTATTTCAGCTAGACATATGATGAATCCGTAGCAGAGGAAACTCCTGGGGAAAGGGGGGGCAAAAAGCACAGGCCCTTTGGGATGTGATTTGTGCAAGGCAGGTAAATGCATTGCAGTACCGATGAATGGGAACAGTCTAACACGAATAAGAGGATACGATGACAGATAAAGTTGATACAATCGAGGTAACTAGAGTAGCATAAAACAGGTGGTCAAAATAAAATTGGACTAGCCGGATACCAGACTAAAAATGCAATAAGGGCAAATGGAGTGGATCTCAGTCGAGAAAAGTACGAAGGACTAGAGTGCACTTTGAGAAAAAACATTCTTGTCATCTAAATGGAGAGGATAAAGGCAGATATGCTAGAACAAAGATATTAGGCGTCCGATGCATCCTAATAACGCTTCGCCGTTAGCTACTTAACACAGAAGTAACTTAGAGCAACAGTGCGCGGAACGATTGGCAGGCTGCCAAGTGAGAAGCTAGAAATTTCACTGGACCAGCAGTTCGAAAGTAAGTTGCGTTTCAAAGGCGTTGTTCAAATTTTGCAGTTGGCATTCGACCAGAATCACCATATGCTTGGTAAATGACTTGAATTGAACGGCAACCAGAGGACCCAGATATCCGGGTTGGTTGAGATACGGGAAGTAAGCGTTCTCGAACACACCACTTTACGGGGAGAAAGGTGAACGGAAAAGATAAAGTGATGAGAAAATATGAGAAACGACGAAAAATGAAAAGTGCAATTGTGGACATGGTTTACTTATACACAAAAACGCTCCATATCTGGAGTTCCCATTGCTAGGGCGTCGCCGAATGAAAATATAACTAAACAGAATGGCGATGTAGAGGTATTCACAGGAATTACGATTAGTTAAAAATTCGGTTTAAGCTCCCGTTGTGTAGTTGGTTGATCCAAAAGACAGGCATCGTAAATCAAATTAAATAAGCGCTTAAATGGAAAACAAGCATTAGTGTATAGAAGCAAATGCAAGTAGTTCAGGTGGTACATTTGTCAGGCGAAATAAGCGCTAAGCCTGACAATAAGCAAGACAACGTAAAACATGCAGTAAAAATGCATCGAAGCGGTGAATTTTAAATGCGTATCATATGACCGCAAATGCAAAGCAAATGATGATTAGGACATATTATCTACATCGTCGCAACCCTCGGACACTCTGCAAACACTGCCTGTGGTTGAAATCGGCGTTCCTGCTCGAGTTGAGCTTAAGAACAATAGCGCGACACTTGGACGGAACGCTAATAACAATGAAAAGTACACGCAGTTCCGGAATCCACGAACACACAGAAGAACAAAAGGAGAATAAAATCCTACGTCTTGGCACCGCTGCAATCGGAGGTCGAAGGGAGACGAGCGGTGTGGATTAATGAAACAAGTTTCAATCTCTTTTATGCTCGCACCAGAGGCCGTTCTCCATGTGAAACTCGGGCGCAGTGTCAAGTGCCCCCACACCCGAGGACAGAACCTTCATCTTGTCCGAGCCCTGACGACCGACGCTTGATAGAGTGAACCATCGTCAAAGAAAACTGCAACAAAGAAAGCTGTGTGCAATAGTTGCGTGGACTGCTGGATGCCCGCAGTTTTACTTTTGTCGAAAGCTGCCTCCTGCTTTGCGATAACGCGCCATGCCACACGAATATGAAACATGTATTCCAAGAGGAGTCGTACGATTCGCGCAGCCTTCTGCGGCTTGCTCCATATTCTCTATCACTGAACCCAATTGAAAACATTTGGAGCATCATAAAAGCGTATGTGAAGCAAGTTGTGAGAAAGAGATATTCCGGGATGTTTCAGTGTGATTCTGAAGGTGTACTCTGCAAGACCCAGGGGAGAATGAGTTTCCTGGAGCGAATTGTGTCAGAGGCGCGAGCCTGTGCGAAGTCTCGGCACTACTTGCACAAGATAGATCATGTGAGAAGGAATCACGCCAGAGTAATGAGTTGTATGGATTTGTAAACCGCCCCCATTTTATTGACATATATATACATAACTTGAAATGGCGTTGTCACTGCTATGCATCGCGAAGCTATTGTTTCGACATTCAGATATAAATGATAGTGTTCAGGCTAAGTGCTTTCGCAGAGAGTTCTCGCATGTTTTCGGGTTAGGCGTTGCCAGAGACAACCAGAGGGTATAACGGATGATTCCTGGCAATCAGGACTACATTGTTGCTAATGACGAGAGGTCATGTGTTGTTACATAGTATTGCGTCGCTAGTTCATGGAGGGGGAATAGTGCGTAGTTGCTATCACGAAGAAAACTAACGTACGCAGAAAAGGAAGAGTCCTTCTGTTGATCGTTAGGTTAGGCATTATTGCCGAAATGTTGAAATTGCATAGTGCCGTTGGTTACATATCGCCACATGAGAATAGGCACTGTGAGATACGCTAAGACAACGCGTCGGATGTAAGCCACTGATCCATCACAGGATGCGAGATTGATGTTCGTCGCTTATTTTGAAGCATTTCAGATGGCTATGCGGTCGACTGCGTTCGATTCAGCGCCTAAGTAGTGCCAATGTATGCGGTGCATCGTGAGTCACCCGCTAATTGCTAGTGGTGCGGCGTTCAAGATAACACGAACCACTCAAGCAACCGAAGCGGACGTCATCGGGATCGCCCAAAAGCGTCACGTGCAGCGTAAGTGACCGTCACACTACGTGCAGTGTGACACTGCACCAAATATGGGGCGGACTAATGAGATAGCATCAGTTCTCATTTGCTGGTCTGTACGGTATCGTGTGGGACGGGAATTTGGCTAATTGGGCGGCTTGCAAACTGCGAACTTGTGCAGCCCCCGTGCAAGCGCGATTTCCATCCGGGTCGATACGCATGAGTGACACAAGCAAGCCGAATTCGTTAATGGGGTTACAGTTAACATCACCATCGATTGGTGTGTTCGATCGTAGGTTGTGCAACGTCACTACTCGTGACGAAATGGCTCATCGTAGATCGTAGGTAGCTTTGATTACGTTTCTTGACACCCGCATCGCCCGCAAAGTTGTTTTGTCCGAAACGCCCAACCATGGAAAATTAAATGAAGATACATATTACTTGAAAAGAGAACCAAACCAAACAAACTAGTCCACGGAGTAGTTAGAGGCCAAAGTTTTGCGTTCGACACGAAAGTTTTGTCAGACCAAGTGAACCAGAGGGTGATTGGTACTGCGTACATTACGAGAAGGGACAATAGTTGCGGTTATCGAGATGCCAGCAGGATGTTAGTCACCTTACAGGTCAAAGTGTCATTTTCAGTGCTGCGTTAGAGATCCCAGGTGGTTCATTGTACGAGGTTATCACACTTACGTTTCTGCCTGCTATGGGAGTAGGAGTGGTTTGATGTTTGCGCTCTGCTCCAGATCCGTTCACCAACGCCCCTCAGACTGACAGGATAAGACAGCTCGCCACGGAGTCGATAACTCCACTCCATCCACTGTCTACGCAGCTATTGGCTTCGGCAATTTCCGACGCCTCAGCAGTCAGCTTTAGGAGTGTGCATCGCAAACCCTTTCTTAAGATTTTGACGCTATGCGAGTCGATTTCATGCCCCGTGTCCTCCTACCTGCGGAGAGTGAGTCATTCAAATGCACCCGTATCAGATGGACCGTTCTTCGTTTAATACCTTTCTGATTGCCTTTGAAGTTCCCCTTGTATAAGAACAGCCAGCACAGGTGGCTGATCGGACTGATGCTGTCACCACATTATACTGTGAAGGTGCAAACGCTTGCTGAGGCGTGTAGCGTTACACGTCAGTCGAATCAGTCTGCTTACATAGCTCTTGGTTCAGATCCAAAGAGGGCTATATCTTACATAAGGTTTGTCAGTCGGTCACCTAGTAGAACTTCAAGTACCAAACCTAGGTACTTCACGGATGTAGCAGAGTGCAATCCACCACTGTCACTAAGCTGATTGGGGCACTGTGTAGGGAGCTGCTCGTACTTGTGTCCCGAAAAAAGCGTATTATGACACTCGGATGTATTAAGAGACAGATGACGAGCTTTGGACTAATTACTGAGGTCATCCAGATAATTTTGCAACCTCAGAGAGCAATCGGCATTTTGATGATTGATACCAAGGACGATGTCGTCGGCATATTTCATTAGGGTAGTTTTTGCTGGGGCTATTATTGAGCTGATGTAGGTTAATGTGGTGGTAGTGCTCTTCAAAGGTAAATTCGAAACCGGATGCTGCCAACCAGTGCTTTTCCCAATATGTCAATCGACCTCGTGGAATGGTTCATCCACATAATTTTGTTTATAATTTGTCCCTGGCGTGTCCAAGTATTGTGACAAGTTGACTAGCTATCTAGATCTGTGTTGACATTTGCTGTCCTTGGAATCTCTCACCGTCAGCGCGGACAGGTTCTCCTTCCCCATCTGAAGACGCCGTGTGGACTTAAGGAGAGAGTGTTTAAAGAAAAGACAGCATCTCAATGAGGTCTCTCACCGCTCGTACCAAGGAAGGGCTACGCCGTTTGAACCAAGTGTAGATACAGTCTATTCTGGGGAACGGTAGCATCTCACCGGTACCAAGATAAAAGTCCAAGGTATGTCGACTTGTCGCTTGCTCTTCTGTTGCCTAGAAGCTTCAAGAAAAAATCATTCTTGAAAGGAAGTTGTTCCAAACCCGCTCGAATGTCCCCCTTAAAAACACTTATCGTAGTTCGAGATCTACCGTTAATGCAGTGGCCCGCCTTGTACATTCTATGCTGTCATCACTTGACAGCAGAAACAGATCAACTCGTAGGTGTTTTCTTGAGTATAACAACGCATTATGCTGTATAAACCGCTAAATGCTGCCGAACGATGTACTCATATAGGCAATATATCTCTCTATCATCAATTCATTGAGTGAGTACTTTACAGGAGGCAGAGGCGTAGTATAGCAGGGGCGGCGGATGCGGTTCGCCCAGGGCAGCGTGTCGCAGGGGGCGACAATTTTAGTACGGATGGCTGCCTAATACCCAATGTAAATCCATCAAAATGTATTCCATGACTGATGTGGTAAAAACGAAGCATGATACTCATTTCGTGACCCAAGATAAAATTCGTACTACAGACGTTGATATGTGAGTAACAGAAAGCTATATTGACAGCATGTAGGCAGCGGGAAATTTTTTTGTAATGCTGATGCATAAGCATCTCGCGAAGTTAAAGAGTTGAAAATGCAAGCATATTTTTGCGCGCACACCAACCGGTTACATGGGTTTCTGTAAGTGGGCTGTTGAGGTTGTTCATGAAATTTTTACTATGCTTGTCCGGCTCGGAGCATGTCGAGCATGGATTCCATAAGTGGAGCTACCCGGAAAGAATGCAATCCTGAGGCTAAGAAGTTAACGAACTGTTCTTTTTTCGTGATTTGCGAAACGGTGGACAGAGATTGCGAACACCGATGCTGTATTCTCTTTCTATTGTGGTCCTGTTTGATTTCGGCTGCAGGATGTCTTCGGTTGGAGCGGTTAGCTCTCTTCTTGAGCTTAGATTCGGAGCTTACTTTGGCTGGGTGAGGTATTATCGTGGACATATTTACCTCCGTGGGATCGAGCTTAGTTTTTACAAAATTGGCGATTATCTCAGTCATTCTTTCGTACTTTCTCATGAAGGAAGATAATCAGTTGACAACTGGAAGGAATTGACATGTTGAGCAAA